CCCTAATGTGAAATGTAAAAATTGAAAAGTAAATGCCATAAGAAACTATAAACAACTGTCTTCAAAAGGTAGATTTTGTCATTCACTTCTTGAAAATTTGGTAGATGTCTTTTGAGTGTGTGTGTGTGTGTGTGTGTGTGTGTGTGTGTTTTACTAGACATCGAATCCAGGACCTCAAACAAACAACGGTAACCACTCTACCATTGGGCTATCCTGTCAACTCATTGGATTTCTTGGTAATTTTCTAAAGATTAAGTTGAATTAAAACTATTCTCAAGTACAAAATATGTTATTTCCATTTGTCCTCATGGTTGACATCGGTCACTTTTACCTTTGAAGGAAAAACAAGGGGCTTCGAAAGCAGCATTTTCAATGGTTCTCTAATGTTGACGCTGGAAAGACTCAGTGGATGAAAGTATTGACTGGGCAAACCTGGGAGTCTGAGTTTGAATCTCTAGAAGCCATGTTAAAAACTGGATGCAACATGAGTATCTGTGATCTTAGTGCCCCTATGGAGAGATAGGAAGCTGAGAATCCCCTGGACGTTCACGGGCCAGGTAGCCTGCTACACACAATGGAAAAAAACAACAAAGCGACTCCATCTAAAACAAGAGGGAAGAAAAGCAAGGCTGGACACAAGGATATCTTCTGACCTTCACATGAAGGCCATGGCATAGGAATGCCTGCACTCATACACACAAAAGCATGTCCACAAACACATAAACACATATCACAACACACACAAACACACAACAGCTAATGTTTTGAATGACGACGCTATCTTGCTAGGAAATCAGCTTATGAACAATAACTATATGGTAAACAAATATCCTTCTTTGAATCATTTTACTGCCCTGTAGAAAAATTAGAGTCTAGATACCCAAACCTGATGCACAGTGTCTGAGATACCTTGTCTATTAGAGGGCAATTTTTATTTGGATGTCTGCATGATACTTGAAAACAGTGGCACTGTGAGTTCTAAGTATGTGCCTTTGTCGGGCTCAATAGATGAGTTATGCTTGCCCAGGGTACTGGAATTCTATGTCAAAGAAACTAGATGTTCTTGTAGGGCTCCAGCTCTAGACATCTGATAACCCTTCACTCTGCCAGACTGGGAAGCCCCTCCCTTACTGCTTACGGCAGAAGAATCACAGCCATCACTTCCATGTGGCTTTTCTAGAATAATTTGGTAACAGCTAAAGCAAGCAAGCACATGCATACACACCTACCCATACACTTACCTTACTCCTCCTCTGGGGAACCAACTCCCAACAGAGCCCTGGGTGTTAGGACAGAATTTGCTCCTCTACAAAAATCAGAATGGACCCTGCTGCAGGGAGAAGCCTGTAGCCCTAAACTCACTGGTGGGACTCCAAGGCTTTTCCTCACTCATCTGCAGAGGAAGGCAAGCAGGTGTGAAGGCCATCCTTTGGATCACCACCCTTCAGTGCCTGTTTCTTTATAAAAAGCCCCCACCTCTTTGTGTCACTCTCTCTTTAAAAGCCTTTGGAATTCATCAATCTCATAGAAATGTCACATTCTCTGAATAGAGATGTTTAGACTTTTAAGCTTCTAATCGACCTTCTAATAGACTGGCTCCATATGCTTTAAAAAAAAAAATCGCTTAAATGAGAAAAAGAACAAAACCCAAGTAATGAAAGAGGCTGAGAATTTAGCCTTGAGCAACTGACTTCACCATGTATTAAGACTGCCTTCCACGTGTTCCCATCATCTCTGTCCTTCTGAAGCACAAAGGATGTATACAGTGGTAGACTTACTAAACTAGACATGATATTAATGTCCAATAATACAAAGGAAAGAAAGAGTGAATAAATGTCCCTGAAAAGCCCAAAACCAATGGTTAATTTTAATTTTAGGCCCATTTAGTTGACAAAATATAAACAAAAATGTAACATTTACAGTTTCAAAGCCTGAATATGTTAGCTGAATCTCTTAATCTACTGTAGTAAATCGCATCCCATGCCCCTCAGGTATGTGATCAATTCAACTGCCATGAGGAAATAGCTAGAATGCAACTAACTGTCAATACATACTGACATTGTTTAAAATGTTACTGAATTCCTTTCAGGCAAAATTTAAAAACTTACAGTGCTTTCATAGCCTGGTGTTTATAAATCCACTTCATGAAAAATTTCCAGTTCCTTTACTCCAATTTGCATGAGAACACTGGGCACAGCACTATTACCTGCAGAACTGCTATGAGGTTGTGCTAATGGCAGAAGCCACAGTAATGATACCAATTTAAAACAGAACACACTGACAATGTACAAACATGCTAAGCATATTGGGCATGAGAGATACCTCGTATGCAAGAGTTCAATTAAATCTTTAGGTGCTATTAAATCATGCACAAGATGTGTGCAATATGATTGTGGTAATTTAAATTTGCACACAGATTGACAAACAGCCAGGCTATGTTAGTTGCATACAATCATAAGCTCTATCGAGTCATAATTTAAATAAAGATCCTGTCATTCTAGAAACACTCTCTCTTGGCAAGTAACTACATATTACTCTGTTTGGGAAAGGCTCGGGTAGAAGTTTTATCTTCCCTGTTTGGTCCTGTAGCCTTTTACAAAAATTTTCTAGAGTGCTCGTTCCCCCAAATAAAATATTTACCTCACTGAGTAAAATTACATGTATAGATAAGACACCACATTCTTAAAGAACCGCAGGTTAAAAGCAGGTGAAGTCACAAACAGAGGAACCAGGCAAGAGCTAACAGCATTACCACTTTAAATTTTTTTTTCAGATGAAAGCCAAGACTTTTTAAAAGTAGAGTGACTTATGGAAATTGCCTCATAACTGGATCTCTTGACTCGTAAGCCTGGTGCCTGCAGCAACCCACGCTACCCAGTCACACGGATCACCCTTTCCATTTGCAGCTGTTACTATTTGGGAAACGAACTCTGCCTGTTATCTGAAGATTTTACCTCGCTTTATCTGAGGAAGTGCCTTGCTCAGTTATACACCACACATGGCCTTAAAATTTCACACCTAGGGTGCGAATGCCTTCGATACAGTCTATTTACATTCTATTTAATGTGAACAGGGAAAACTGAAACAGTATTTGCATGCGTCTCCAGAGGTTTCCTGGGTCACATACCATTAAGATGCAAGTCTTTACTGTAAAGCTTTTTAGTTGAAAAAATGTAGAGAAATCTTTCAGTAACTCACTGATACACTAACAAAACAAAAAGAAAGTCTAGCTAACCTTCGGGATTACATGGAAGTAAAACATGAGATCACATGACCAACTTCACTTCACAAGCATGTCCACAAATATCACGTAGCTAAATTTTCCAGTTTCTTGAAAACTAGCTTCTAGTTTTATATTTTGACTGGTGAGTCCAAGTTTGAGAAAGGATGAATGAATGGCTATATATATACATATATATATGTATGTATATATATACATATCCAAAGATATATATATCTTCTCAAATATAATTTTCATAGCTCTAGAATAGGATGAAAATAGGTGCCATTACCAAATGAATCAGACCCCCCGAAATAGCACACAAAGTTTCAGACACAAAAGCTATTATAATGTTGTTGAACTTGTTAGTTATTTGGGGTTTGTAGATCAAAAATACATTCTTTGCAGAGACACTCGTTTAAGCACAATTCGGTGCCTTTCCTGTCTTCTCACACCCCACCTCCACTCTTGAGAAAGCCACCAAAGAGCGCAGAAACTGAATTAGCGCTTGCAAGATTAATAAATGATTGATTTAAAGGGAACTTTCATCTTTTGAAAGAATCAGACAAAGGAAGAGAATGCCACGAAGCGCCACACTGTCTTGCAAGGCTTCTGCAGAACAGAATGGCTTATTTGGCTCTAGTTTGCTTTTTTACAAAGTCATTAAGTGTTTCAACGATTTCTCTCAACATCACAGGTTACTCAAAAGATCAGTTTTTCTTTGCTTTCCTTTAAGGGAGCAGATTGGCTAAGTCCCAGGCTACTTGGGAGCCTCCTGCTTCAGCACCAAGGACAGAAATCGCTCCAGGCCACCGAAAAGGTAACCCACCTAACCACCGCCAAAAGTCCACTTGCAGGCAAAGCAAGAAAAATAAGATACCTGTCTGCCAGCCACCTGTTTAAAGTCCCCTCTGCAGCCGAATGCACCAGCAAGTTCTCCGAGGAGACCCTGGACAACCGTGAGTCCCAGGCCGCCCTCGCAAGTCACAAGGAGCAGCTGAGGCGCGAGGAAGTGTGGGAGCCGGTCCCTCCCGCTCCCCGCGTCCCGCAGGCTCGGTCCCGGGTGCGGGGCGACAGCGCGAGTGACTCGAGGGCTACACACACTCACACACACGCGCACACGCGCACACACGCGCGCGCTCGGAAGTCGCGGGCCCTCTGGGCGCAGGGCTCCCGCGGTGGGCAGCCCGGGGAGGGGACCTCGGCTCACCGCTCGGGCTGTCGCTGGACCTCAGGCTCCTTCCACAGAGGCACTGCAGCATATGCACTCCTTTCTTCAGAGAAAGCGCAAGAATCTTCATGGAGAGACGCGCACGCGGGGTCGGCCGGCTCCCCGCCCACCTCGGCTACTCCTGCGATCGGGCGGTGGCCTGCGCGGGGCGCCGGGGTCCCGAGCCCATGGTACGTCCCGGAGCCGCGCAACTCGTTCGCCGGGCTGGGGCTCCGCCGGGGGCGGCCCTCCCGGGGGGCCCCCCAGGCTCGGCCACGCCTCAGCGGGCTCCGCGCGACACTTTGGGACTTTCGGGAGGGCGGCCCCACTGCAGGCGGGAGTGCGGGCGCCGCCGCGGCGCGGAGGACGTCACCGCGGGTCGCGCCTCCTTCGGGTCCGGCGACCCGGGGCTCCGGCTGCCTCGGGGTCCCCGCGGCGGGTGGCTGGGGGCGTGGCGCGCGGCGTGGGAATCCGGCGGAAGGGAACGCCCGCAGGAAGGACTGCACCCGGGAGGCCGCCGAGCGTCAGAAGCGACTCGGGGGACTGGGGGGCGGGGGACGGGGAAGCAAGCGGGTGTGGCATGGAGAGAGCTTCAGGGCGCGGGCGGTGAGAAAGTGAGCCCAGGCGGTCTCTGGGTGTTGATGTGGGGGCCCGGACTCCTGGATTTCCTGGATAGGGCTGTGACCTTGGGTAAGTCTTTTGCCACCTTGGGCGCCTCTCCATAAATCAGGATGGGGAAGAGGGTGTGAAATGGGGGGGGGGGGCGGTTGGCAGCTTCTGACAGTTTTGTCCCTGGCCTTCCAGGCTCCTGGACATGTTTAGCATGGGCGCAATCGGAAGAGTAGCCTGACTGGAACACCAGAGTTGGAAAGGGAGAGGGGCCGGTGAAGCAGAATCAGCACCAGCAGCGCTTCACTATGACGAGAGTATTCTGGTATCTCTCTGCCCCTGCCAGACTGCTCGATTATCCTAGGAGGATCTGCTTGGTGTTAAAGGGCTCACGTTTCTTTACAACAGCTACTTGGCTTGCTTGCGTCTCGCCCCTCACTTCCCAGAGATTATCGATGTCCTTTTGGAAATGGGATAAGAGAAGAACTCAAATAGTGATGTCCATGGGACAGAGCGTCCCCTTATATGAAATCCCTATGCAGAGAGGAACCTTTAAGGACAGACATCTTTGAGAGCGCAGATACTAGAGAGAAAGCTTGAATTCCAATTCCTCTTTGCTGTGTGATCTTCAACACATAAACTTCTTGGTGCTTGGGGGTGTTGATAATTCATCATTGATGACTGAGTGTCTCGTGTACCCCTTGCTGTGGCTTAAGAACGCTCTGGTTATAAGTGCTGTCATTCTAGCTGCCTCCTTTAGAGTTTTGGATCATTTTCACAGCCCAGGGAATGGCAGTTACATACCAGTACCTTCACAATCCAGGTGATAAGAAGTTCAGTGGCTCCCCAGGTAATTCATTGCACAAACCCTGTTAGAAGTTTGGCCCTGACACTGAGTCAGAAACCATCTTGAACTCTTTCCGTTCATGGTCTCCAGGGCATCTAACACTACTTGACTTGTTTTTCCAGGAAGGAAGGAAGACCAAATGGCTGTCATCGCTCCCTCTCTCTTTACCTCCTCTAAGCTAACTAACCCCCGCTGGTCTTCCTGTGTTTCCCCAAAGTTGAAATCATGTATTCAGATGGCCTGCTCTCATGTTTACACTACCATGCTGGTGATTCTTAGGACCAGGTATACTCATCTCAAAGAAAAAAGAAACAGAGGGGTTACATGCACACACTGCCATGGTACTTTTCCTTTTCCTTTCAATGGTGGTAGAAGAAAGCCAGGATATGTGGAAGGGCCTCTTGAGCCCCCGGTCACTCTTGGCTCCATGCCCTCAGCTCCTTTCAGAAATCAGCTCCAGACAAGGTCCTTAGGGTGGTTCCAAGGCTCAAAGAAGACCCTCCCCAGTCTCCCACCACGTCCTGTCTTAGTCTCATTGGTCTGTAACTTGAGCAGAGAGCTCTGTGAGCTTCAAGACCCTTGAAGATCTTGCTAAACTCACTTCCTGGTCATCACCAAGAAGGTTCTAAGGCCCCAAGGCAACAAACAGCCATGGCCTTCCTCTTTCCCATCTCTGCGGGAATTAGTAAGAAAATTGGCTCCTCTGGGATTCTACCCATGGAGAATCCCCAAGGAGGGCGAGACAATTAGCCAGAGGAAAACACCTAAAAATAGCCCTTGGTGCTGTAGCAGAAGACAGCGAGTTTTCCGGTAGCACCCTCCTGCTCTGGAACCCAAAGCCCAGAGCTTTGTGCTTCACTTTGAGAGAAGCGGTACTGCTCAACAAGGAGCAAATGGATCAAAAGGATGAGACCTTGGTTCTCAATGGAACCTGAGCAGAGTGAGGCGGTCCATGTGTAAATTTAAAACACACCTGAGCCTGTGTTCACGCTTATGCTAAGCCTCTCTGCCTACCTGGCAAGGTTGTCACAGGATTCAATGGGCTGAGGCACAGGAAAGCGTTTGAAGATTCTAATTATGTATACCAGGTATACTCATCTCAAAGAATAAAGAAACTGATTGCATTCACACTGTCACGTTATCACACCACCAGAAGTCCCTTTGAAGTGGATAGCACAGCATATTTTAACATGATTTTCCTTCACTTTAGATTATACATGTTTCATTAAAGTGGACCCCAAGGGGAGGTCCTCATTAGAATTTTATTCTTTGGATCATTTTGTAAATATTTTCCCACACCTAGCAGAGTTTTCTGGAAGCACCTCCACAGGTGACTGGCATAGTGAGCATCAGTGAGCATAGTTCAGCTTCCCTAAAGTATCATGTCCAGGACTTCAGAAGAATTCACTTTACTGGTGCTCTTATATAGAAAAAATAAATAAAAACTGTAGAGGCCAGGAGAGTGGTAGACTGGTTTGGACAAAAACTTCTAAATTTTCCTTCTGCATTTCTAAGTCAAACTCAGAACTTTTGTAGCAATGATATTTTATTTTGAATGTAGTTCACACAGTTGTCTTGATGAGTAAACATTAAGTTATATATTTTCTGTCTCTGGTGCTTTTACAGTTTTCTATGCTTCCTATTTTCTGATCAAAGTGATACCTGGGACCAATCCTAACATGTAACTTAGCAATATGCTTTCACAATGAAATAATTTAGCACTATTTTGGGGAGATAAGATCTTGCTATAAAAACTAGGATGGCTTAGAACTTATGATCCTCCTGCCTCAGCATCTCTAATGCTAGTACTAGAAATGTACACAGATTGGCCTAGTAGTACTTAGTAAGAATTAAGTAGATTGGTACATAAGTGAACTTTTGTGAAATTTTGAACACCTAATTTTCACTTTTCAAAAATGTTATTTACTTAAGGTTTATATGAGTTAATGATTGTGTGAGGGAGCAGTGCCATTTTCAAATGGTGGCTAATATAAGGTATTTTGGTTCATATTAAACAACAGGAATCTGCCCATGCTTGGCAACTAGTGAATTTATCTTCTTGGAACTCTACATTAGATCATGAAGAACATTAGAACAATCCATGAAGGCTTTGTCAGGTCCCCATATTTTTATTGACTATATAAATGACTATTAAGTAGATAGCAAAGTATTTCTCCCTCTCATCAAATCAAGCAAGCATGTGAGCTAAAAAACTGAAATCAGTATGGCACGCAACAGTATGTTTGTTTTGTCAACTGTAGGGCAGCAAACTATGCCTGTATCTCATGTCTTAGAAGTCGATTCAAACCAATATGATAGGCAAGCAGGCCAGTTTATTCAGACATGACAAAAACAAGCCCCGGAAGCTAGGTAGCTTTGTTTTAATGGATTTCAACCTGTGGAAAGGTTAAAACAGCACAGGGTTTATGTGCAATTTATCCAACTTCTGCTAATATTCGCTGCTTATTTAACAACGCTGCAAACATTAAACTTGGAATATTTACATGGGCACCTGATAACTCTACAGGCTACAAGCTTTATCAGCTCTCACGGGGTCTCCTCTTACTCTCCATTCTTTCCGTTTCAGGATTCAGCTGGGACCTGTGCTAATCCCCGAGTAGCCTCAGTCTCCTTCCGTCTTGTGACAGACCCTCAACCCTTTATTGTCTGTCAAAACCTTGATACTCCACAAACATCGGTCGGCTACCTTGTGAAACACCTTGGCAGTTCCAGATATTTAGTCTACAGTGACTCAGTTTGGGAAACGGCCGCCACAGATTGACAGTGTTGCTCCAACCTCAACCATCCATCACTGTTAGGGGGATTCACGCTGTCGATCAGTGACATTAACCTTGCCCGGCAGTGTCTGCTAGGTTTTTATATCATAAAGGTCTATTTTAAATTTTATATGGAGAAATTATGCCATACCCATGTCCTGTTCCTCCGTCCACTCTCACCTGCCACTTTCAACATTTATGGCCAGGTCCTGTCTGTGACCGCTGTCACTGTTCTGGGTGCCCAACAGTGAGTTCAAAATGCCTTGATTTCTTCAATAAACTGGCAATCGCTTTGAGGGACTACCCCCTCTCCCCACTTACTTCTTTATTATTTATATACGTGTGGTCTCACGCAGGGTTCTTCTGTGGGTTGTGGCTCCCGATCATTGTCCTGTGGCTGAGGTAGTTTAGTATTGGAGGCTGCTTTGGTTGGATACCGTCGCCTTCGGGCAGTTTCTGTTTTTAAATCACTTCCTTAATTTTCTGCCATCAATGGATGCTCCAGATTTACTTTTTGTCTCCTTCTTCTGTTGTTCCTACCCCAGCCTTAGAATCAACTAATTTCCCCAGAGAATCCTAGTTCTTTGTATCAGATATGATATCTAAGAGTCTGAATCTGGATGCTGAGACTTAGTTTTTGTTTTGTTGTGTTGTGTTGCTGTTGTTGTTTTGGGGGGGGGCTGGGGCATTAACTGCTGCTGTATTCAGTAGAGAGTTTGAAATCAATGCTTATGTGAACGCCATATAACATATACATCATGTATTTCTATATTTTCCTTATCAAACAGAGACGTGGGTGGATATACCCAAGGTATGTCACATGAAGGTTGAGATGAAGATGTCCAGTATGTGGATCCTTGTCTAATACCCCATCTTCCTTGCCTGGTTTGTAACTTCTTTTTTTCTAACAGCACAAAAACCTGCCTTTCATTGTTTACATTCTGGTTTTTTTTTTCAATCTCAGTACACACCTAAAGCAGCCACAGAATCTCTAGCCAGTGCTCAGATGAGAAACAAACTCACAGTTGGGGTCCCGTTGTGTACAGGAGTTTCTGTCAGTGGCCTTGCAGAACTCTACCCAACTCTAATTTCCCCAAGTTTTGAAACAAAAACTCTGCATTCGTTCCTCTTCTTCCGTGAGGGTGCTGTTCACTTGTAACTTAGCTAGGTTTGTTTATGATCTACAACCCATGCTTGATGCTTTTAATTATTTTATTAAAACTAATTAGCTTCATTTGTCTAATACTTAAAACGTTGTTTGGGCTCATAGTTAAAGCTTTACAAAGATATGTCTCCCCTGAGAACTGCCCCGCCCCTTTGTTTTTCCTGACTGGTGCCACCCCCACTTCTTGCCACCCCTTCCCTGGACATACCCTGTGCATAGGATACAGCCATCTAACCCCCTTTGTCTTACACCCACGAAGATACACAGGCTTTTGTGGTAGCAGACATTGATCTGAATCAGGCTGAAGATTTGTTGACGATGTGGTGATCCAGTGAATGAGTACTCTATCCCTTTTTAAAGTGTTGCTTTCTATGCCAATATATGCACAGATGCACATATCCATGCACCTTGGCCAAAACACAAGTTAAAGTCAGGAGTGTCACTCTGAGCCAATAGGGAAGAGCTTGGTGTGGGGAAATCCCAAGGCCCTTTCTCCACTGTGCATTCCTCGCTCTTCTTTCTGTCCTCCCTCAAGTGTGCAATCGGCTTAGCGAGGGATCGCCGTGTACTGTCTCTATATTAGCAACTTCGGTTCTTCCCATAACTTGTTGAATGCTGCCTTTTGCCCACACAGTCCCGCCTAAGTTCTTTTACGTAAAGTCACCATAAACTAAGCTATTCCAGATTCAAGTGTCATGTTTTATCTTCAAGATACTAAATGTTACTGGTCCGAACCAGTTTCAGTAAACTCTTCCTTTTTCCCTTCAGAAGCAATGTTCATCCTGGTTTGCCTTTTGCTTCTCTGTTAATATCGGTGTTCTCTCCACCCATCCTGCAGACATCACTGTTTTCCAAGGTTGCATCCAGGAATCTTTTTCCTCTCATTACATCCTCTTTGACCTCCAATGATTTTGCTCTCTTTTCTTTTGTCTATACAGTAACTTAACTCACCTTATACCTGGTTTATGCAGTGTCATGATCATGTTGATATGTTTGCACAAGTTATTCTACTCGCCTAAAATACTCTCTCTGCTTTGGTTCTTAGAGTGACTGCATATGCAACTTTGAAAACTAGCCCAGCATCAACTCCCTGCTCCAGAAACCTCCCCTGTATGAGTTGCATGCTCCTCTCTGAGGAATAAACTCTACATATTTCTCAGTACACAACTGTCACTTAATAACCCCTGATGTCTTTTTTTTTTTTGTGAGGCTATCTCATGATATCTCATGATAGCCAAAGTACTATTTGGATGTCAATCTAAATAATCCTTCAAACTAATGTACATTTGCAACTGACAGATGAATAAAGAGAGAAAGACTTGGTTCTGAAGTTCCTAAAGAGGGGTGAACCTGGGAAAATCTGAGACTCATTACAATCAACACCACTTGTATTGTTGGATATAGTTTTAGGTACATTTCCTTACCTCAAATGAACATACACACATGAATGACAACCCCAAGCACATACAAAATTGTTATCTCTTTCATGGAAAATCTGAGGTTTGTTCTTCTTAAAATGCTACCAATAGAATGTTTACACACACACACACACACACACACACACACACACACACACACACACGGAGCTTCTCAGAATATACTGAATACTCAATAAATATTTTCTGAAGGAAATTTAAGTCTGGTCTGGAACAGCAGGGTGTTTATACAGTTAGTTTTCTTTCAAGGTTGAGTTAGGCATACAACTCATAAGAAGATAAGGCCTTAATCAAATTGATCAGAATCTCACATTTCAACTAGATACAAAAGCAATCAAAATGGTTTATCTGAAAGAGGTCATTAGTGAGAAGCTGAGGAGATGTGGCCCAATTGATGAGGTGTTTGCCTTGCAAGTATGAGGTCTTGATCTCATATCCCTGTCACTCATAAAAAGCAAATGCCAATCCCAGAAGTGGGGAGGCAGTGATAGGAGGATCCTCAGAGCTCTCTACCCAGCCAGCCTAAACTAAACAAAACAGAGAATCCTGGATACAGTGACAGTCCCTGACTCAGGGGGAAAAAAAAAAGTGGAGAGTTACTAAGGAAGATAATCAATGATGACCTCTGACCTCTACAAACACACACGTGTACATCCATACAGTTGCACACTCACACAAGTACACATAAAAATGTAAAAATGCATCCTTAACCACATTTATGACAAACCTACATTTCTGTTATGCACAAAGGTAGCACTTGTCATGTGTTCTTTCCTGAAAAATCAGATGGCTCTGAGTGCAATGCTCAACATAAGGGGAGTCTTCAAAGAAGCAAAGAGAAGCTCCCGCTTGGGGAAGAGCAGCCCTTTAAGCCCTTAAATTAACTCAAGCAGTGGTATTTGCTCCGCCCATGACCTCGGGCTATAGGCTCAAGGGGGTGGTGCTTTCTGCTGTAGTACAAGCTCTTATAAGGAGTTGGAGAAGGGTCACATGCCCCTTTTCTCCCTGCTCCTGCCTGTGAGGTGGATTCACTCCCAGTCAGATCAGAGGATGACTTCTGCTGTCTACTCTGTTCTGCAATCGTGAGTGTATTTCCTCAATTTATATCTTAATAAATTCTGTTACCCATTTAATAGACTCCGGCAGATTGATCGTAATAGACTCATCCAACACAGAGGTCGGGAAGACCAACAGTTGGAGACGGTGGAGAAGCATCTACAGCAGGAGTGGGAAGGGTTTAATGCTTCCAGACACTGCAGCTGCTCCATTGTGGCTTGATAGGTTGATTATCATAGAAGAAAAATGGGAGGGCGGGAAAGATCTGGTTTCTCCCGTCTCACACAGGTGCACACTTATTACCACAAAATCAGGTGACACAGAGGCCACTAGGATAATGCTCCTGGTAGGTAGCATTAGGAAGCCATCTTCAGCATCTCTGGTTTGTACAAATCATCAGCTGGGATGCCCATGCTCTTTTCACTTGGGTATCTGTGCTCTCCTTTGAACCACGTCCACTTTCTTGCTGGAGCTACGGGTGAAGCTTGTGCTTCCAAATTGGACCTGGGTTTGTTCCTCAGCTCTGACACTTAGACATCAGATTTCAGGGTTTTTTTTTATGTTGTGCATTGCAGTGGGTGTTAATGAATACTTAGCAGAACTGGTATCAGAGTCAGTCAAGCTGGAATACTACAGCATCATGCCTGCCAGAGAGCAGATGCTCAGTAAGCATCAGTGGGATCTGAGTGCTTGTGACTAAGTTTCCTAACTTCTTTGTGCTTTGTTACACTCCTCCACAAAATGAAGCTAAGAACTTGGTATGCAGGTTGTTGTGTGTGTGTATGGGGGGGGGGAGCAACATAATCTATTCCTGTTGGATCACTATTGTATCCCAAGAGGCTGACCAGGAGGATCATTGTGAGCTTTAGCCCAGTGTGATCAATATAGGGAGTTCTCAACAAGTCTAAGTAACAGAGTGATACCGCTCCTCAAAAACAGAAGGAGAGACAGAGTTCAGTTTCTTCTTTCTCTTTTCCAAAGATTTGCTTACCAATGACTAGTCTATTTTTAAAAGAGTTTTTATTATTATTATTATTATTATTATCATCATCATCATCATCATCATCATCATTATTTAGGGTCAGAATTTTATATGACCTGGGAATTCTTGTGTTTCGAATTTATTGTTCTTTTAGTGTATTTTCCCCATTGTTCTACAGCAGGCCTGATTGATCATTCACAGCTGCAGCTGGGAAATGGAAGCCCTTTCTGCTTGGAGGTGCCCTGAGCCCATAGTGGCTGGTTTGATGAATGTGCTTTTGCTTCTTAGTTTTCAACTTAAGTTTTTACCTGGCCGATCAACAGTAGCCTCCTTCCTGGCTTACCAGAATGGAGGTACCAAGATGACTCCGCTGCCATTTGTTAATCTTAACAGATTCCATTGGTCAAAGCACCAGTGAAGAAAGTGAGTAAACAGCCTGTACCAAGATCTCAAGTGTGCACTGAGTATATGTACACCTGGAGAAATAGTGAAATTGAATTGAATACATGAAAGTATACTAGTGGGTGTTTCTCTGAAACTACTCAGTACTTGTTGTTGATGGATGGGAAGCTTTCAAGTATTCCTGTTCAGAACATGTGCTCTGGGCTTGGACCTCAGGGCTTGGCATGATGAGTCAATGGCCAATCAAGTCACCTTTATAGCCCTCGGTTGCTGGTTTTTTGTTATATATATATATATATATATATATATATATATATATATATATATATAAACAAAAGCACCAAAATATAGGTCGAATTGAATATATATATATCAAATAGGAACAAAAGTACATCACAGCATGCTTAGCTGTGCTAATATATCTAAAACACAAAGTATGGTACCTATAGAATGCTTAAGAGACTCAATTCTATCACTAATTCTTAACAAGTACTTCTCTAACATCAAGTTAACAGGAAAGAAATAGTTCATTAAGGCGCAGCACCATCGTGTTTGTGTTCATGAATACTTTAAAGCTGTCAAACTAGAGTGTAGGTCATGAGCAATGTGTTTGCCTAGTCTGTGAGGTCCTGGGTTTAATCCCCAGGTACTGAAAAAGTGAGATGCCAGTCAGAAGTTAACTCTCAAGGTAATACTCTCAAACCCATCCAAAAATACTTCATCCGTGAACCAATCAAAGTCCTTCATCCATGGTCTCCTGTGAGACCCAGGAAATGTGTGTAAATGTGCAATTACTACTTGGTTATTCTGAAGCCAAATATAGAAGTTTTCAGAAAAGCACACTCTGTGATTTGGGTGAACTTTCTCAATCTCCAAAGAGACATTGCAGTATTGGAATCGTCTAGGAATCAAAGCGAAGAATGTCACTAAGGTGGCTACGAAATGCATGAAAAAAAATGTACCAATGTATGGCTTAATTATATGTGCCTGCCTCTGCTTCAGCCTCCCAAGTGCTATTTTTAAAACTGAAAATGAGATGTACTTTTATTCCTGAGAACCAACACTGATTATTACACACACGGGGAAAATGGAAATCCCATACACCGAGCAGACAATCTAACAGAGGAACACTGACGTGGGTCCAGCCTGCTGCCTCTTTCTGAAACCAGTGTGCACAGACTCAGAGTGAACACCCACCCCGCACAAAGTCAACACCACCACTGCTCAACTAACGTTCTTCCCGTTGTCAGAATGAAACTGCCTTGATCTTGCCTTCCGCTGTCGTCAGTAAAAGAAAGTGAACAAAAACTCGAGCGATGGTTCCTTTTTCGCCTGGCTCCTTTTCCTTTCAAGAATCTATTCCTTCGTTTTCAAAGAGAAGTCATCTGGGGACAACAAAGTCTGGCCGTATTTATGTGGTATGACTCTCAGCAACTGCAAATGCAGGCTGAAATTGCTTTCTCTCACCCTATTTCTCCCACACACCTTTCCCAGGAAAGAAATGATAGATGCAAATGTCTCCTTTCAAAGCAGCTCATCTGACACCACTTTCTCCCTCAAAGGAGAGCATCACAATCATTGTAATTGTTTGGGGGAAGAATTTCATGCTCAGAAATACAAACCGATTTAAAAATATTATTTTACTGGCTTTTTCAAAAACCTGTATATACAAATAACACTAAATGGACTGAACATGTCATGTTTATGGATTTAGGGCTCTCTCTGTGTATATAACAATAACAGTTTCTTGAAAGAAAGAGACCATGAATTTGAAATCAAATGGGGGGGGGTACATGTGAGAAAGTGGAGGGTGGAAAAAAAGAGGGAGGAAATGATGTCATTATATTTTCATTTAAAATAAAATTATTTTGAAAGTCTATAATGATTCTTTAGAGCAGTGGTTCTCAACTTTCCTAATGATGCAACCCTTTAATATACTCCTCAAGTGGTTAACCCCCAACCATAAAATTATTTTCATAACTGTAATTTTGCTACTCTTGTAAATCATAATGTAAGTATCTGATGTACAGAATATCTGATATTCAGCCCCTGTGAAAGTGCCATTCGACCCTCCAAAGGGGTCGGGACCCACAGGTTGAGAACTGCTGTTTTAGAGGCTGAGGTCAAATATCTAACATTTCAAGCTTGGCTTTCAATGCACAGCCCTCTGGTTGTAACTTGCAGAGCATCCTTTCACTACTAATTACTTCAGGCCCATGGGACCTCAAATAGTTGGAAAGATACTGTTCTTTAACTCAGGTTTTTATTTTTAAAAAGTAATGTGATTAGTGCACAAAATGTTAGAAAGTCTCTATATTTAGAACTTCACCTATAACAAGACACATTAATGTTTTCGAAGTAAAATGTCTACATTGTCTTGTAAGTGAGATGAATAAAACTTGCCAGCATGTCCCTGGGTGCATTTGTTGTAAACCTGAGGGGTGGAGATGGCTGTCAGGGCTT